CTCTAAGAAGGGTTGAAGCAGCAGGAGCAGATTGGGTTGTAACATGTACTGCAACAGAAACAGTGGAAGAATGACAATTCCAGCTCCTTTGGGTTTGGCCACATCTAACACCATTAGTAGGTCTTGAGGTGAAATGGCCAAGTAGATTTCCATGTTGGCCACCCACCAGTGTTGGTATCTCTTCAATAAGGTACCTTGAGGAATGAAAGGGGTATACTCGAAATTGACCAAGTCATCTATGAACTTGAAAGTTGCTTCTTCTAGCCTGGACTTCCGCACTTTCAGATCCCTTCTAGTAAGACTGGGATTTGTGTTACTGCAGAGAGGTATTGGGACCCCTTGTGTGAAGCCAAATTGTCTAGCAAATTGAGCAGGACAGTAGGGTTCAGCGATGCATTTGTAGGCCTTGGGGTTCAAAGTCCCAATAAATAACTCTCTGGGGATCAGAATGGAGGCCCATATCTCTTTGTGAATAGGTGAAGCACAGGACCTGTCACTTAGGAAATTCTTCAACCAAGATGGACCAATGGTGGATTCGAAGGGTCAGAAACGGTAAGAAGGAAGGGAAGCTGGAAGTTGGTGGAAGAAAGAGAAGTAAAAAGCAAAGGTAGAGGGATAAATTAAAGCATTGGCCAGCCTTATACCATGAGTAAGAGGGTTTGGCTCAGAAAATTTAAGGCATTTGGATTGTAACTCAGTGAAATAGGTAAAAAACCAAAACTGAAGGATCCAGAACGGCCCCCCTTAATTAGCATCTAAGGGTTTCTCACAGATAAGGGAGCAGACTCTATATACGTGACCTAGAACATGTGGGGCTAAGGCCACCTTCTTCTGTAAAACAAAGGCTTTGGCAAGAGGGGCAAATTCAGGCATGATTCTCTGAGAGGAGGTGCAGAAGAGGAATTTGCAAAGCCAATACAATAAGAAAGAAAAGAATTCCCTATCAGTCACAGGGCCCCAGCCCTAGCGAAATCACTATAAGATGAGTTAAGGGAGGGGAGAGAGAAAGGGACTGCTAAATTAGGATAATCCGGTCCAAATGGGGTACCAATGGGGGATAGTCCCAGTAAATGGCAAATATCAAGAACAGTAGGAGCCATCATCCCGCATCTAAATTGGAAAAAGTTAAAGACAGGATTCCAAAAACACAAGGCAGCAGGAATAAGGAAAGGGTCCTCTGAGATAGTTACCCTGGATAGTCGGAGAGCATCGAGAAGACAGAGTTCTTGAAGGTCTAGAGTTCTAGCAGGAACAACCCGGTCATACCATTCTTGCCACTCTGGTCTCACCATGGGCCAACATCGGTGGGGGCGATTTATCCTCCAATTCCTCCAGTCAAGACCACCTTCGTAAAGGAGACATTGCTTTTCCAGACGAGGATATAGGGCTGGGAGTTCAGTAAGGATCTCTTTGAATATGGGCCCAAGCACGTAGTCTTGCTGCACATGGTGACGAGGGACAAAGATGCGTCCATCAATAGCGCTTTTCTCCCCAACTTTGTACTTCTCACATTCTGCATCAATGATTCTCTTCAGGGTTACAGATGGGCTCGCACGCTCTACGACTGGCACTAAAGATGAAGCCATTGATAGTACGCTTTTCCAGAAAGTGAAGCTGAGAAAGGAAGTAGAGAGAAGCAGAAGATCGGTAGAAAGAAGGGTTTGTGCGTTAAAAGAGCAAGTGATTTCAGAGCACGAAACAAAAGGATTTTTAAAGCTTTTTGTGTCTGGAAAATATATTGCGTAAGTCGTTAAGTATTAGAAGTACGAATACGAAGAGCTTCCTTCAATATTGATACTTTTGGAAGGAAAACACAGCCCAGATGCTGAGGCTAGCTTCGAAGTAAGATATTTGGTTTCGAAGCCAAGGTTTAACGCCAAAAGCCAAAAAAAAACAACGGCTTCGAAACAAAGAAGCCGGCTTCGAAGCACATTTCCATAACAATTGAATAAGAATACTCGTGTGTTTGTTTTACTCCAAAGAGTTTAAAGACCTAAGGAATGGAATAAATAACAAGATCATGAAAATAAGGAATGGAATAAATAACAAGATCATGAAAATAAGGAATGGAATAAATAACAAGATCATGAAAATAAGGAATGGAATAAATAACAAGATCATGAAAATAAGGAATGGAATAAATAACAAGATCATGAAAATAAGGAATGGAATAAATAACAAGATCATGAAAATAAGGAATGGAATAAATAACAAGATCATAAAAATAAGGAATGGAATAAATAACAAGATCATGAAATTTAGTCCAACAATGATCAATGAATTTTTGTTCCTTCTTTATTCTATCTTCTATGTCTTCTAACATTGGCTGCATGAGTTGATGTGCTCTCACTTCGGAGTAGAGTTCTTCAGCCTTTATTTTGAAAGCCGCCTCTCTCAATCCTTGTTCCAATTCGTCTATGTCCATGTCATCCCAATACGCAGAATCTTTATTCTTGAAATCACCGAATTCTTCAATGAAGTTCTTTGCTTCGTACTGGGCATGAACTCGAAGAGACGAGAGTTGGTCTAAAGATTGTGTAGTGGCCATAGAATTTCGATGCCAGTAGAGGAGCAATGGAAGTTGGTCCAGGAACATATGAAGTTCTACTTGAGCAAGGGGATTAAGGACATGGCCCCTAGTCAGAATATCATAAGCCCATCGAAGGTTTTTGAGAGGGACTTCGTCCTCAAGAACATTGAAGGGCAAGTGAGAGAAAGCTGCAAGCAGAAGTTGGGCTGGTTTCCGCTTAGCTGGAGTAGGGGAAGGTAGAGGTTTGTAAGGTGGAAAGATGTTATCCATGGAAAGGGCAAGCTTCAGTCTCTCTGTCCAGCAAAGAGTTGGTAGAGGAGAAGGTGTGAATGCTTCAATTTCAAGAGATGGAGAAGAAAGTGTGGATGCTTCTATTATGGGAGATGGCACGGGAGCAGAAGGAACAAAGGCATTAATATAATCGAGCCAGTCAGAAGAACAAATCTTCGCCTTTTGGGCTAAGAATGATGGGTTGTACCCTTGTGTTTCTTCTAGGCGTCGAGCAACATGCATTATCTTTGTAGGCATGGAGGATGTATACCATGCTACAAGCAGATTTTCCTCCAGACTACGTCGATGGTCAATGGGCACGTAAGGGTAAACCACTGAACTTCGAGCATAGGAAGGAAACTCTAAAGGGTCAGTGAACTCAACAAAATGATGGTTGATTCGTTCCCTGTTGATAATTTGCAAAGGCATCCATGACCTGAATATAGAAAGGTGGGTAAAAGTGACTAATAAATGCATGGACGTTCTTTGGAGGAGGAACAGCATCGACATAGGAAGGGTAAACCACTGAACTTCGAGCATAGGAAGGAAACTCTAAAGGGTCAGTGAACTCAACAAAATGATGGTTGATTCGTTCCCTGTTGATAATTTGCAAAGGCATCCATGACCTGAATATAGAAAGGTGGGTAAAAGTGACTAATAAATGCATGGACGTTCTTTGGAGGAGGAACAGCATCGACATATGACTCTTCGTGTGCTCGATCGCTAGAGGAAAAAAGTAATTCGGCCATGAAATGTATCAGTCTGTCCGAATGCTAAGACGGTGGAAGTATTCAAAAGATTAAACGAGAGTTTAATACAGATGGTGAGTGACAGTTGCATTTCTGGGAAGATGAAAAACCCATGCACATTCTGAGACGTAGGGAAAAGACCCTGATCCACTAATATCACCAAGTCTTGGGTATATTAGTGCGGGGGATAATGTTGGCTACATATTTTATACAAGCCAGTTACAATTCAACGCGTGGCAAAGTAAGGGTAATATGGGGAGACCATTCAAGTCTTCAATCCTGATCGTACACGTGGCAGTTAATATTGGTTGTTATGAGATCTGAGTAGCAGTGGATCAACAAAGAGATGCAAGGTGACGTGGCTTCAACAGTTACTCACATTCAAATTCAAATATAGGAGGGAAGCCTAACTGCAAGTGATGGCGTAGTGAAACTACTTATAAGGCAGCATGATCAGCGACCACGGAAGAGCAGTTCGACGGTTTGAAGTGCAATTCGATGGTCATCTTTGAGGAGTATAAATAACAGGAAAGGCCCCAGAAAAAACCCCCGGACTCAGATAAAAGAAACCAGTCTTACTTTACATATTTCGTTTCAGTTTTTATATTTCCTGTTCTTTACATTCCTGTACTTTAAATTCCTGCACTGCACTTCATTCATAGGAGTAGTTTCAAGTAGATTGTCGCTGTAAACCTCTACGAGGCTGAGTTTGGATCTTTGTAAATTTTTTATACTAATGAAATGCTTCAATTGCTCTTTATTTAACTGTTCTTGTGCTTAAATTCTCCTAAATCAAGCTACCAGTAAAAGTCTTCTTCATTGAGGCTGAAAGAACTACAACACAATCGTCTGATAATTGGTTGACAATCAAAATTCTGTAAGGACTGATTAATCCTTGTTGGCACGCTCATAATTACAAAAATAACCTTCAAAAGTCAAAAAACCAACAAAAATACTTTTTTTCTCGAGTGCCATTGGAACTCACCACATACCTCACTTGGGTTTCTTCTATAATACATACTCTCATTGGAACTCACCACATACCTCACTTGGGTTTCTTCTATAATACATACTCTTTTTTGTCTGTATCATATATAAATTATAATAATTTTTGAGTCTATACCATATATAAATTATAAATTACCCTCACAATAAATCATAAGTAATTCATAATCAATACTAAAATAAATCATAGTCAAACACAACTTGAAACATAACTAAAATTCTCTTCCATCATAATTAAAATAACCACTATAATAGATAATAATTAAATCATAATCAATATCATAATAAATCATAACTAAGTTATAAGTAACATCACAATGAATCATAATAAAAAATTACAAAAATTATAACTGAGCATATAGTCACTATTTTTTTTTTGGATGTGTATTATAGAATTTCCCTTTTTGTCTATGCCTGAGACACATGTAATTGAGACTCATGCAAGTTTGCTGCAAATTGATCATAGGATTGGATTAAAACATGTCATGTAATTTGACTACAGCCACAAATTACAACAATGTTCTTATGAACTAACAAGAATGTTTTATGTACAATGGAATAAGCTTCAAAAAACGAAAATGAACTACAGAGTCAGTTCCCATATGGCCTAAAAAGTGATCAGTTCTCTTCATCAGAGTCAAAACACTGTCTTCTCAAAGATTCCAGTACAGCTGCGGACCGGTCTCCTTTCGAAACCATTCCTCCCATGGAAGTCTTGAGCTTAGGCACACTCATGGCACTCAGTGGTGGTGTTTTACCACCCTGATTCACTTCCCTGAGCACTGACCGAGCCGTGGCTCTAGCCACCACATCTGCCATTGCTGAATCAAGTTTCGAATTCCCACTCATCAACATCCCAGGTACTTTACTATGCACATTACTGTCTGTCACGGCCTTGGAAGTTCCAGGCGAACGAAATGCATCTGATCTTTGCATCATTGAAACAGTTTCAGTAGCCGTTGACTTTGCCTTCAACGACTCATACTTTTGAATGTCGTAAATGAGCTCTTTCTGCAGCTGTTTATCAGCTACCAATATCTCATCGATCTCATTCTTGTAGTCCTTGAGAAGGACTCGGAGGCATTCCATGAGGGAACCGGTTAAAGGGCTGTTTTTGCTTTCCAAGAGACGTTTTAGCTCTATGAATATGGGGATTGTGTTTTGGATCAGGCCTTTTTTGACTGCTTGAGTTATAACCCTTCCTCTAGCTGCAGCTGCAGCTGCACTGCCGCTATCTCCTCCACCTTCTTCATCCATGTCTCCAGGATCGGATGATGATCCGCGGTTGGATGGAATTCGGATTTCTTTGCTTGAGAGAATTTGGAAAGCATCCTGTTGTCTCCCCATCAAAAAAGCACATTGTACATGAAATATGCATAACAAAAAGGAAATGCATTGGCAACGCTTTCATTTCCTTTCTTTTCTTATTTTCGCTTTAAAAATTCTGGAAATTGAAAAGAAAAACGCGTTTGGTGATTCTTTTTCATTTCAAAAAAGTGGCAACAGTTTCCAAAAATTTCAAAACTTCTTAACTACAAAAAGATGTTTTCTTTTCATTTCCCTCCTCTCCCCCACCATCACCATCCACCACCTATGGCCACCCTCATGTGACCCTCCGGCCACCCTCTCATGACCATTGGGGACCTCCAGCGACACTCCACCACTGGCCACCACATTCATCCTCCCTCCACCACCTCCAGCAACTCACCGAGCATGTGTTTCTGTTTTCAAAAAAAAAAAAGTTATGTTTCATATTTTATGTCGGGTTGAATTTCCTGTCCTCTAGACTAGGCCTCCAATATACTAAAAAAGAAAACACGAAACTAGCAACGTTACCAAACAGCTCCTAAGTATGTTTATTTGTAATTTTTTCTTCACCTTTGGAGAACGAAAAGATCAAGAAAAGGATAACAAACAGAATGGACCAATCCAAGTGAATTCCATATGGCTCAAGCTATCAATGCAGCACAACTTCTATATAAGAAATATTTTGTAGCAACCACCAAACCTCCCATAAATTTCACTACTAGGTAAAATAATGACAGCACCCTCTTTCAACAGCAGCAACTACAGAGGAGCTAAACCACTTCAATGGGATGGAATATGAAGCATTCACATTGAGAGAGAGAGAGAGAGATTGCACAAAATTAGTACCTGCAGAACTGATTGTCCTGTAGCATCTTCTATACTCAGCATGCCGTCAGATACAGAAGCAAGGATCTCTGCACATACCTTGGCAAAAGTGGCTAAAAGGTGCTCTGGAGCCATTTGTTTCAGCAATGACACATAGATGTGCATTCTTTTAGACCTTGATTTCTCATCATTACCTCTGGAAAAGAAAAATTACGAACTTAGTGCAATGTCTCTTCGATTAGTAGTTATCTTTACATCTACAAGACTTTCACATACCTAATAGCGAAAAGTCGGCTCTCAGCTCTTGAACTCTGAGAACTACTATGTCCAGTATGCACATTGCAGTCATTCAGAACAAAAACAGCTTCAACAAAACTATTATAAGCTAGAAGTGGTGCCTTGGCTGCAAATATATCACACATAAAGTCAATTCCGGACAACAGACTTAGAGCATCTCCATTGGTGCAGCATTTTTTGTGCTATTTTAGCACAGCAAAAGCACAAATAGGATATAGCACGGTGATATTTTAGCATAACATATACTACACTGCTGAAGTGAGTGTTTATGTTGTGTTTTGTTATTTAAGCACTGCTACACCTAAATACTAAACCATTGGAGTTGCTCTTAAATCATCGGTTCAAGAGAATTTGCAAATGACAGCTCTGTGAAAGCATCACAACCTTTTAGGATGTTCCCAAAGAGAAAATCAGCCAGATGTCTTATTTTTTCCGATTCATCAACAAGGGATAACAAAAATCGTAGGAAAAGTACACCTCTCCACTTCACGTAGTCCCTCTGAAATGAGTAGAAAGTTAAAAGAACTAATTTCCCAAAAATTATCTTCAAAATGGAAAGCATACAACATTTTAAATAACAAAAACAAACCTGTAATAGTCTGGAGAGCAGTATAAATGTCTGTCTTCTCACAAGCTCACATGGATCACAGAGACACTTTGTGATATTTGATATGTAACTGTTGACTTTATGAATAGCTAGTGAGAATTTTGAAGAAATTATCGCTGACAAGTTCTTGTTCCTTAACCAGAGAAAATAAAAAGTGGCTCACCAGTCAACTAGAGCAGTATAGCGTACACAAAAATCTGCCATCATTACAACAATATTATTGCGAAGGGCCGCACAGTCACTCTTTTCAAGCTCCTGTAGTAACACAAGCAGGCACTCTTTTAAACGATTATTTGCAGAATCCTAGATATAAAAGTAAACAATCTCTAGGAAATAAAGTCAGGCAATTTACATATAAGATCCAGATAAGTACATATAATGATCACTCCAAAAGAATACTGAATTCTGAGTCATAAAAGATTAGGGCTTCTCTGGAACTAGCAGAATTTAGTAATGTTAAGTGTTAGGGGTAGTTTGGTCTTTATATATTATTCTTATTAGTATAAGTAGTTGTGTGTAAGGGGGAAACCCTAAGTTTTCCCCTAAGTAGTAGTTGTCCTCTCAGGCTCTTCAATGCACTTATGGCTCCTCCCTTCGTCTCCTTCATCAGTGGCATCGCTGTTTGGGGCATCCTTCCTTTAGCATTTTAGAGAAACTTTTTCCTTTATTAGTCGTGATTGTCCTAGGAATAACTTTGTTTGTGATGCTTGTGAGCTTGCTAAGCATAAACGTACTTGTTATCTTTCAATTAATAAAAGAAGTTCTTTTCCTTTTATACTTATTCATACCAATGTGTGGGATCCTTCCCCTGTTGTTTCTACCTCTGGTTATCAATGGTTTGTCACCTTCATTGATTGTTATTCCCGTGTGACTTGGCTTTATTTACTTCGTACAAAAAATGAAGTTTTCTCATGCTTCAAAAGTTTTCATAAAATGGTATCCAATTTCTTCAATGCTACTATCAAAATTCTTAGGAGTGATAATGGGACTGAGTATGTTGATGGCGCTTTCCGGGTATACCTCAACGACCATGGCATTCTTTATCAAACTAGTTGTGTTGGCACTCCTGAACAGAATGGAGTTGCTGAACGTAAGAATGGCCATCTATTTGAGGTTGCTCGCTCTCTCTTGTTTACCATGAACGTTCCTAAGTCCTTTTGGGGGGATGCGGTTCTTACCGCGGCTTATCTTATTAACCGTATGCCCTCTAGTGCCCTCCACTTCCAAATTCCTCTTGAGCTTCTTCCTGTGACGTATCCCACTTCTTCTCTTCCGCCTCGGGTTTTTGGTAGTGTCTGTTTTGTTCATCTTCAACCTCGGACTCGTGGGAAGCTTGATCCTAAGGCTGTCCGGTGTGTCTTTCTTGGTTATTCTGCTACTCAGAAAGGCTACAAATGCTATGACCCTCACTCTCATAGGTTGTATGTTAGTATGGATGTCACCTTCTGTGAATCTGAGTCATTTTTTCTTGGTCCTCCGCCATCTCCTCAGGGGGAGCGTGGTATCGATGAGATTGCGGATGAGACGACATCATATCAACATGAGTTGTCTTTTTTCCTTCCTCCTCAACGGGCTGTTATTTGTGGTGAGGGGAAGCCTAGGAGTTTTGTTGATGAGGAGTCGGATATCGGTGGTCGTTTGGACAGAGCTGATCTTAAGACTTATTCACGGCGTCAGAAAGAGCCGACTTCTCTTGTGCCACCAAGTCAATCATCATCTCCTATGCCAGTTCCACACCCAGTTTCCACTAACTCTTCAGGTAATGATCCTCATCTCATTTCTTCACCTGTTGTTGATGGTCCTATTACAAATGATTTGAGTCTTCCAATTGCTCTCAGAAAGGGGGTTAGAGCTTGTACTCAACACCCTATTTCTAAATGTGTGTCATATGATTCGTTGTCTTGTACGTATCGTGCTTTTGTTTCGTCCCTTTCTTCTGTGTGTATTCCGCAGGGTTGGAAAGAAGCCATCAATGATCCTAAGTGGAAGGTAGCTATGGTAGAAGAGATGCAAGCTTTGAGTAAAAATAACACATGGGAGTTGGTGTCTCTTCCAAATGGGAAACACCCAGTCGGATGTAAGTGAGTGTTCACCATTAAGCACAATGCAGATGGGACAATTGAACGATACAAAGCAAGACTAGTGGCCAAGGGATTTACCCAAATATATGGAATAGATTATCAAGAAACTTTTGCCCCGGTAGCAAAGATGAATTCCATTCGAGCTATTTTGTCATGTGCGGCTAATTTGGGATGGTCTCTACAACAACTAGATGTGAAAAATGCTTTTATTCATGGGGATTTGGAGGAGGAGGTATATATGGATGTACCTCCAGGATTCTTATCTCAGTCTACAATTGGAAAGGTTTGTAGAATAAAGAAGGCTTTGTACGGTTTGAAACAATCTCCTAGAGCCTGGTTTGGTAGATTCCTCAAGGCAATGCTGGGATTTGGGTATCAGCAAAGCAATGCAAATCACACCTTGTTTGTCAAACGCAATGTACATAAGGTAACAATGCTTATTGTATACGTGGATGACATAGTTGTGACAGGTAATGATGAGGAAGAGGTGACCCATCTCAAGATGCAGTTAGCCAAGGAGTTTGAGATAAAAGAACTTGATCCATTGAGATACTTTCTTGGGATTGAAGTTGCTATATCTGACAAAGGCATCGTTATTTCTCAAAGGAAGTACATTCTAGATCTTCTTGAGGAAACGGGCATGTTGGGCTGCAGACCAGCTGATTCACCAATTGAGACTAATCATCATCTTTGTAGTGGAATTGGTGAGCCTGTGGAGAAGGAAAGGTACCGAAGACTTGTGGGAAGACTGATATATCTCTCTCATACTCGTCCAGATATTGCCTATACAGTTGGAATAGTGAGTCAGTTTATGCATGATCCTCGTGTAACTCATTTGGATGCAGTCTATCGTATTTTGAGGTACCTTAAATCCGCCCCTGGAAAAGGAATTTTGTTCTCTAATCACGGTCACTTGAGGTTGGAAGCATTCACAGATGTAGATTGGGCAGGCTCTATAGATGACCGACGCTCTACATCCGATTATTGTGCTTTTGTAGGAGGAAATCTAGTCACATGGCGTAGTAAGAAGCAGGGGGTCGTTTCTAGATCTAGTGCTGAAGCTGAATACAGGGCTATGGCACATGGAACATGTGAACTAATGTGGCTTCAATCTTTGTTGAGTGATATAGGGCTTGATTGGAGTGGTCCCATGACTTTGTATTGCGACAACAAGGCTGCTATTAGTATTGCACACAATCCTGTTCAACATGACCGGACTAAGCATATTGAGATTGACAGACATTTCATTAAGGAGAAATTGAATAAGGGTGTGATATGTATGCCTTTTGTTAAGTCTGAAGATCAACTGGCGGATGTTTTTACTAAGGGTCTTAGTAGTAAAGTCTTTCACCCTATTTGTTGCAAGTTGGGCATGAGAAATATCTTTGCACCAACTTGAGGGAGAGTGTTAAGTGTTAGGGGTAGTTTGGTCTTTATGTATTATTCTTATTAGTATAAGTAGTTGTGTGTAAGGGGGAAGCCCTACGTTTTTTGAATCAATAATCTACAGCAGCTTTCTCTTGTTCTATTCCTTCTTCTTATTCTTCTTCTTCGTCTTCTCATCTATACATTCAACAAGTAACACTAAAATGTGGCTAACTAAAGTGATTTGAAAACCATGGAACGTACAATATGCTGAATTCAAAGTCATACCTGCACAAAAAGAGGAATGTAACGCTTCGCAAGTTTCCCATCAGCGAGGCAGATCTTCCCCATTGTTAGCCAAGCTTGAATATACAAAGAAGGGGCTGTCTGTTTTATAGAAACAGCAGGGCCAGGTAATTTAGTCAATTTTGGGTCAGAACTCCCAGAAGTAATAATGGTGTGCAAAACTGGAATAATGGCTTTTAAATCAGCTCTAGGACAAACAATAACCAAGGACCCAATAGTGTAAACTGCAGTGATTGCTTGTGATAATAATCTGCACATCGCTGATTCTGCTCTCTTGCCCTTCTTGCTGCCACTTCTAGGAGGTGTAAAAAAGGTACTGTCCTTGTTAGCTACTGAGTCCTTTGATATGTACATTTCAAGAATTTGGGAAGCTTTAGAGAGAAGCTGTTGTACCCATTTTGTAACAAGACCATCAGCTTCCTCGGGATTCAAAGCTTTTCGCTTGCATAATGTTCTGAGTGCTTTTACATGAGCGTTAACCTGCCATCAAATAAATCATTGGTCAACATGGACAAAAACTCGTAGACTTACCAAGGAAACATAGTTGCAAAAGTATGACACAAATGCACAAAAAATTTTGGTATATGACATGAATGCTTCCAAACTCAACAATGCAGGCCACTAGGTGCTATGCAAATTCTTCTTTGCATTCAACATTATGTAGGAGAAATGTTAGAGACCACAATTTAAGTCCCCCAATTCACCCACAATGACATGGAAAGAGAGTTGAGTGTTACAGGATTAAGTTTGTGACAAATCAAAAGTTGGCACAACCTGCCATGTCTTTGTGAGTAAAATTGCAAGACTTAAATTGTGGGTCTCAATCTTTTTCCTTCATATGGAATCGTATCCTCCTTCAAGCCAAGGTATATTCCCCTTTCCAGTCTGGCAGCTACATTCATTTGAAGTACATATCATACGTCCTTTTATATTGCACAAAACAATGGAAATTGCGGGTGTGTTTGATTTGGTTTTGGGAGATAAATTTTTAAAAAAGATTTTGAGGAGAGAGTTTAGAAATTTTTTTGGTTTGTTTGGATGTATATTTTGGAAATAGTTTTGGAATATAGGAGTTTCCGATGATTTAATGTTTTGTTGTAATCAAGTAGATGTGTATGAGAGAAAAAGTGATTGAGAATGAGAGATGAGAGAAAAAAAGTGATTGATTGATGTGTAAGAGAGAGAGTGATTTTGAAAAAAAATTCCAAAATCAGTAAATCAAACAAAATTTTAAAAAAAAAATTCCAAAATTTATTTCTCAAAAACAAACCAAACAAGGCCTACGTTTTTACAATTTCCTTCCCAAAGGATACAGATCCTATGTATCATATATGATAAGTACATTGCAACTAAAGTACTTGAGTTGAGATTGATTTCTGCTAGCTAAACAAAATTCACATATGTAGTTCCAAAAAAACAAAATACAAAGTTCACATATAATTGCATTTATAACTTATATGAGGCAATCCAGTGAAATACCCAATAGAAACAAATTTAAAGGAGAAGCACCAGAATCGTTCCAGCAAATTGACACATACACGTGATACTATTAGACAGATACCTCTGTTGAATGCATGCTAAACTCCTCAATTCGTTTAAGCAAGTTATGAGCTAAATCTGCCGCAGGTTCAGGAGGCAACACTACAGAGACATTAGAAATTGTTTGCAAGAGGAAGACACGATCTCCTGCCCAAGCAACAGAATTTGATTCAGTGCCCACAAACTCTTCATCTTCAAGTCCTTGTTCAAGAGAGCTCTTAACCTCTCCACCTGGTGCATACTTGTCAAGGAGAGCCCATTGATGATGGAGGAACTCCCAGTCCACTGCTTTTGAAAGGTATGCCGACACCTCTGATAGAAGAAACCAAGCCCCAGGAGGGGCAGTCCACTTCTCGATTGGCATCAAATGACTCAACCACATTGACTCAGATGTCATTATGATATTTTGGAGGGCAATAGCAATTTTGGGCTTGAGCCGTTTCTTCTTTCCTAGGCTTGTACAGATCTTCTTCACCCAAGGTGTCACCTCCCCATTACAGATCTCTTTCAATAGACCTAAAACTCCGTCAGGAAATAACAATTCAATCTCTCTTTCTAAGCTTTCTGCCTTGAAATTTGGTTCATGAAAGACAGGTTTATTGTGTGGCAAATCAGTAGATCCAGCTCTGGACACTCGGTCCAAGACCAGTTCTAGAAACAGGTTCTCACATTCTTCTTGAATGCTAGATTCATTATCAGTTATTAACCGTGGAACAGAATGTAACCACTCTTTAGTTACACTGTCATCTGAGAATTTTCTGAAGGCCTGCAGAACCAAAGGAGAGTTGCATAAGTTAAAGCGTTGAATAAGTTAAAGCGTTGCATTGAAACAGATCTGCCAGCAAAAATAAAAATGGGGAAAGGAAAACTGATCATAAACAAATGCACTTGCATAAACATAGGAAAGCATTCTTCTTTAAGTGCACACAATTTTTCTAAACATCTTATCTTAAATAATTTGGTTACAGTAAACAAAGAAACGAAGAGGATCCAAAGAAGTGGGGTTCAGCACAACTTCATCAAAAGACAATAAACAAAGAAACAGTAAGTTGGACAAAGAAAGACAATAGCTTTACCTCAGAGAGAGCTGAAATTGCCGCTTTACGAATGCTAACAAGAGGATCCGAACAAGCCACACCCATGGTCTTCAGCACAACTTCATCAAAAGTACCACCAAGAAGAGCAGTCAATTTGGAAATTAGAAGAAGTGCAGCCTTTCTTACAGCAGCTTTCTCATCCGCGCATCTTTTCCTTAGTAAGTCATTCATTCCGCCTTCTAGCCTATTACCAAACTCCATTGCTTCCTTCAAAACCACACGACTCCTATCATCACCCGATAAAATCCCCACCAATTGCGCCAAGTTTGTAAGAGCCCGAGCTCGTATCCCTGCAGTTGAATCCGAACATCGCTTAATCAAGGCCTCCAAACACCTCAACCCCCAAGAATTCTCTTCCCCATTTTCAAAATTCAGCCCCAAAGGGTCTCTCAATGACACCATTAGCATTGGAACAAGATCCACAGCCAATAGCCTAAAATGGGACTTTCCTTGGGTCATCTTTACTACATAATCTGCAAATCCAGTTTGATCCTCGTATTCTATCGCTTTTACAATCTCCATTATCGATTCCACTGCCAATGCCCTAGGCTCAGACTTCTCAGGAGCCTTTTGCACCAAATACTTGGGCAGATTCACAATTGCCTTCTTGATTTCACCTGAATCCTTTGCCAAACCCGTCATTCTATTCACCACGAAACCAAGTGCAAAAGTCCGCGCCTGCGATTTATGCAAAAGAATCACCGGTGACAATGACTTCAACACCTCAGCTGCAGTAATTGCTGGATCCCCATGCTCGGGCCTCAATAATTCGCTTAAAATCCGCGAACACAAATCACATAACTTATTATAACTCGTTGAACCTCCACACAATTCAACTGCCATTACAGGAATTTCAGCCACAGTTTGAATCAAAGACTTCAAACTATCCGGAAACCGATCCAAATGAACTAAACCCAGAACAAGTTCTAACCTTTCAAGCACAGAAAAGAAGACCCTCACATCAAATTGATTCTCTTCACTCCCACATTCATCGTCTTCAACGTTTCGAGCCCGATTGCGAGAAGGCCCGGCTTTGCCACCGCCTTTCTTCTTTCGGGTCCGATTCTCAGCTGAGGAAGGCGCTGAATTTGGGTTCTTGAAGGATCGGCGAATCGAGCGAAGAAGAGAGAGAAAAGCCATGGGAGTGAAGAGGGTAAAAACAGGGGAATTAGGAGAGAGAAGAATAGAGAGATAGACTTTGGAGGCCAAGAGAGCGAGGTGGGTCGGACTAGAATCCATGGACGAAGTGATTGGACGGAGGAGAGAAGATGGAGAGAGGTTCTTTGAAGAGAGCTCATCGTAGAGGCGTTCGATATCGACTGAATCGGTGGTGTTGAGAGCATTGTCGAGTAGGGTTTGGAGATCCAAGAGGGTAGATTTGGAAATGGGGGTTTGGGAATTGGGATCGGAGAGAGAGTGGTGAGTTTCGAGCTCTGAGACAATTCGATGTATGGCTTCTTCCATGGTGGGTTGATTCAACTCTCTCTCTCTGTCTCTCTTTCTTCTTCTGCAACTTCTTCCTCAAATAGCTTCAAATTTTGGTATTCCCGCTTAAACACAAGGTGACATTTCTATGGCCATGTGTGGGGGAGGGTTTATGGCTTGTTTGGTTTATGTGTTTTTTTTAAAAAAAAGAAAAGAAAAATACGTTAAAATAGTTAATAAGGTAAAATGTCACATTAAATTTATAATTATTTCATTTTTTTTCTTATAAATATTACATCTAATTATAAAAAAAAAATCCAATCATTTTTTCAAATATAAAATTTTTAACCTATTAAAATAGTTAATTTCCCAAACGAAACCTATAATATAATTAAGCGACATGAATAAAATAAGTTGGTGTGCAGTTCATCTTCTTCCTCGGTGTTGTTTTTTTTTTTTTTTTTTTTTTTTTTTTTTTTTTTTTTTTTTTTTTTTTTTTTTTTTTTTTTTTTTTTTTTTAAAAAAAAAAAAAAAAAAAAAAAAAAAAAAAGAGGTTAAAATAGTTAATAAGGTAAAATGTCACATTAAATTCATAATCATTTCATATTTTTTTTTTCATAAATATCGCATCTAATTACAAAAAAAAATCCAATCATTTTTCCAAATATAAAATTTTTAACCTACTAAAATAGTTAATTTCCCAAACGAAACCTATAATTAGGCTAAGTTTGGAAAGACTAAATAAGTGTACTTTTTGACTTTTTATGAAATATGGGTTGGATTTGGGTTGGGTTTGAAGTAATGTGTTAGAGAGGTGATGTGACTTAAATAAGATGATGTAACTTAAATAGGATAGTGACTTTTTGACTTTTTGAATTTTTTGAAGGATGCCAAACTTGGCCTTAAGCCGTCGTGTGGCATGTAGGCCAAAGGATTTTTTTTGGTTAAAATAGTACAAAATAGGCTTAAAAAATTAATTAGATAAAGTATCATATTTAAATTATAATTATTTTTCTCTCACAAAAGTTTAAAAATTCAAAAAATCTAACCCAAACGAAGTTTTTAGCCCCAAGCTAAATAGTCAAAAAGTTAACTCACTTTCCAAACAAAGCCTAAGTCGATGTTTGGGGGAATTTGTATCTTTGACAAGCCTAAGGTCTCGTTTGGGAACAAACTATTTTAATAATTTTTTAACTTTTTATAAAAAGTTATGTAAAAAAGTAAAGAGATCGGTGTGATAACGGATATACGTGTAATCCATATAAGCAACAAAAAATCTTGCTTTTAGCTTTTAACCCATTTTGGATGAGAAATTTTATTTCCACACACCTAATTAGCTCAGGACACACACTTAATAAAATATTAATTTAATGACAATTATATCTTAAATAAAAATGATCATAATAGACATCTAACAACACCCATAATATTATATAAAAAAATTCTCTATACACATCTTTTAAAAACAAAAAAATCTCAATATACATTTTTTGAGTTAAAAAAATTAAACCTTAATTTTTTCATTGTTATCACTTTGTTTGTTACACTCTCTGTATAACTCTATTGCACAAAATAAGAACAGATGAGAGAGAGAGAGAGAGAGAGAGAGAGAGAGATAGAGCAAAATTGAACAAACTACGAAACTCGTTTTGTATTGAATAATCAGGGTAACTGTCAAAGATAGTTTGAGGTGTTGGTTTCAGTTCTTATTGTTAAAATTGATGTATAGAGAAATAGAGAGAATGAATTATGTATTGATTGATATATTGATATGTACATAGTTGGTCTCCTTTATATAGGAGATGCAGGTGGAGAGTAGGTGGAGTTGTGTAGTGGAGTAGGTGGAGTAGGTGTAGTGGAGTAGGTTTTAACAGCCCCCCCACAAACTCAAGGAGGAGAGACACAAATCAACTTGAGTTTGGAAAGAGTAACAAAATAAGAAAATAGACTAATACATAAAATAAAAGAAGATAAGAGACACTGTATGGTCGTGTCAGACCGTTGGTGAAGACACTGTATGGTTGTGTCAGACCGTTGTAGGAGCTAACCGGAATCAATGTCGGGACAGTTTATGGGGTCATGTCGGACTGTTGTAAAAGCTAACCGGAATCAATGTCGGGACAGTTTATGAGGTCATGTTGGACCGTTGGAGAAGCTAACCGGAATCAATGTCGGGACAGTTTATGGAGTCATGTCGGACCGTTGTAAAAGCTAACCGGAATCAATGTCGGGACAGTTTATGGGGTCATGTCGGACCGTGGTAAAAGTTAACCAGAATCAATGTCGGGACAGTTTATGGGGTCATGTCGGACCGTTGTAAAAGCTAACCGGAATCAATGTCGGGACAGTTTATGGGGTCATGCCGGACCGTTGTAAAAGCTACTGTATGATTGTGTATATAGGCTGCCCAAAAGATATACATGTATATATATAGAGCCCTCAAAAGTCGCGTCCTCAAAAGGCGCGCCCACTTCACCAAAAGCCGTGCCCGACAGAAATCATCGAGCGGCGAGCCATCAAAAGTTGTGCCAGACACGCGACGAGGCACGTGATCGACAGAGGGCGTGTCGTCCGCGTCGTCAGTGTCTATAAACCAATGCGGAGGCTGTGGAAATCAAACCAATCTGAAACCTCGGAACATTACCATTCTGAAACACTCTGTAACCAACCATTTCTGACAGTACACTCAGCAACCCAAAACATGGCCTTTTCTTCCCGTGGTCTGCTCACGCTCTTTCCAGACCTCAACGAGTCCACAAAAGAGATAACTGGTGCGGTTACCCTTGAACCTCAACCAAGTGCCTCTGGTTTTGCTCCGTTGAACTTTCCTATACGGTCTGTGGAGCAAATAATGGCAGTGCAATCGGATGTTGAGGCCAATCAGTATACATTGAAGTCATGTGTGGAGACCATGGCTGCGGTCACAAACTTGTCGCACCGGCTTCAGAGTAGGACAAATGAGGTGCAGTAGTTAAACGCCCAACTGGCTCTGCTCCAGCGAATGTATAAGGATACGCGAGCAGAGATATGTGTGCTAAAAGCGGAAAACAAGGAGCTGAAGCGGAAGGCCACTGTTATGTTCTGATTTGGAGGTCCGCCATATGCCGTAGTGGAGGAGCAGGGGGGAGTGAACGTGCTCGGTGGATTAGGAAGTACTGAGACCAAGCTGTCACGGGACACCCAAGATAAAAGTAAGAAGAAGAGAACAACGGAAGAGGCGAAAAAGTAAGGCCAGTGTTTTGTGATGGGATTTTTTTGTTTGTTTTTTTGTTTTTTTGTTTTTTTTTTTTTTGTGTGTGTGTGTGTGTTGGTGTAGAAATGTGATCGGGGTTGATCCCTGTCATGAATAAAATGAGTTTTTTTTTTTTTTTGTGCAAATCGTATGGCAGGAATGACATAATACGGAGCAGAAATAATAAGGGAAAAAAGATTAAAAATAAGGTGAAAGAAAAATAAAGAAAGAAAGAAATAATAATAATATATTTGAAATCAAAACGAGAGAGTGAGGGAAAAAAAAGATTGGTTCACGTGGGTTTCTTGGCCCACGGTTTTGTTAAAACTGGCTGTTTTTTTTTTTTAATAATAATAATAATAATATATTAATGGCGAAAGCATGTGCGCTGGTGGGTTGAAAAGTGTTTGGTGGTGTAAGATGGATGAAAAGAAAAAATAAAGAAATAAAAGAAGAAAAGGAAAATGGGTTTGAAAAACTAGAGAGAGAGAGAGTACACTAATGGATCATCAAAATCAAACTTATCGGTGAGTTGTGACCAATGTTTCAATGAACCTTAATCCATCAAATCTGGGCACAAATTTATCCGCAGAAGCCACATAATTATCACTATGTTTGCTCGAAACAGTTTCCTCCCGAGAACTTTGCGACTTGGAGTAGGTTGAGGGAGTTGAAGAAGACGGCGAAGAAGAGATGGCACTGGCTGAAGCGGCGGCCATAGACGCTGCGGCAAGGATCCCTAATTTCTTCATGTTGTTTGGTAGCCGAGAATTATGATTCCAGAAATATAGGGAAGACCTAAGAAAATTTTCTTGGGAAAATACAAAAATGAATTTGAGAGATCGGGTGTCTCTGTCCATGTCAATGGCGGGGCAGATGGCGGTGTACGTGGGTCAGAAAGACGGCGGAGATTTCCACAGGGTTTTGGTTCCGGTGATGTATTTCAACCACCCGTTGTTTGAGAAGCTGTTAAGGGAGGCGGAGGAGGAATACGGGTTTGATCACCCGGGTGGGATTACCATCCCTTGTCGGATCTCCGAGTTTGAGAGCGTCCAAACCCGGATCGTTGCCGGCCGTGGCCGCCAGAAATTGATGACGAGGAAGATGACTTCGATTCGGAGAGGGAAGCTATTGGTGACCCCCTTGATGTTGGATGATAGCATGTTGTGGGTTAGCAGTCTCATCTCTGTGTGTGTGTCATGCCCATCATTGTTGCAGACATGGTGTTCGACGAAATGTCCCAGAGGGATTTTGGGTTTGCTTCGGCGAGGTGGTGAAGAAGAGTGAAGGTATGTGTAGAGAATTTTAGCGGACTAGGTTGAGGTCCGGCGGGCGGCCAAGGCGAGGTTGCCGCCCGCCGGTGAAGCGAAAAATACTAGGTTCTAAACCTGCTCTGATACCATGTTAAAATTGATGTATAGAGAAATAGGGAGAATGAATTATGTATTGATTGATATATTGATATGTACATAGTTGGTCTCCTTTATATAGGAGATGTGAGTGGAGAGTAGGTGTAGTGGAGTAGGTGGAGTTGTGTAGTGGAGTAGGTGAAGTGGAGTAGGTGGAGTAGGTGTAGTGGAGTAGGTTTTAACACTTATTATGGAACAAATAATCAAATTAAAAAATAATGCAAAAGAAATTTATGGGATTTTACATATAGCCCGTTGCTTTGTAATGACCAAACATTGCTGCAATTATACAATTTGAGAATTACAGTTCATTCAAACTTGTGTTTGAGGGGGACCCTTTCATTCATTCACACCACCTCTGTCGATAGAAGTATTGGTGGGGGCATATCCAAATTTTAATATATAGATAATGTTGATTTAATTTATTTTGATTACTTTGGATCTGTTTGGTAATGTTTACGTTTTCAGTTTATATTTACAAAAATTTTATAAATTGATTTTTGTTTATTTTTAAAAAAACATAAATGTTTTTTTAAACGCATTTGATAATTGACAAAATGTTTAAAAAAAAATTAAAATATAAAAAAAAGTGAGAAATGGCAAGTGGCGGCGGAAGATGGTGGGTGGTGGGTGGGTGGATAACGGTGGTGGGTGGTAACGAGTAGGTGGTGGTGGTGGTAGTGGTGGTGGTGGCGGGTGGTGGTGGTAGGTGGGTGGCGGATGGCGGGTGGTGGTGGGTGGTGGCGGCAGGTGGATGGCGGATGGCGGGTGGTGGTGGGTGGTGGGTAGTGGGCGACGGTGGCGGGTGATGGGTGGTAGCGAGTGGGTGGTGGTAGTGGTGGTGGTGGTGGCGAGTGGTGGGTGGTGGTGGCAAGTGGGTGGCGGATGGTAGGTGGTAGGGGGTGGTGGTAGTGGTGGGTGGGTGAGCCGAAGGTGGTTGGAGCTCGCCGAAGATTGGTCCGGAGGCCGATGATGGCTGGTGATGGCTGGTGGTGGCGGAAGACGGTGGTGGAAAATGGTGGCGGGTGGTGGCTAATGTTGGTTGGTAAAAAAAAAAAAACTAAAAACTCAAAACGGAAACACATTTTTTGAGTTTATATTTTTTGGCTAAATTTATAAACTGAAATCATTGATTTATAAATCAAAAATTTACCAAATAAATTTTTATTTGAGTTTCTAAAATTTTTGTAAATATAAATAGAAAACTGAAAACGTAATTGTTACCAAATGGCATCTTTGTGATTGTAAATGGATCTCGGGAGAAAACTTCTTTACGAGCAGGTACAAAATGGGTGGCTTGGGAGAGCTTGGGTGGAAAGTTGCTGCTGCAACTAAATCGGTGCAAGTTCTATAAAAATTACAAGCAGAGGCTATGGCTGGTTTTCTGGCGCTACAATGGTTGGAATCTTGGGGATTGGGCAATGTTCTGGTGTGTATGGATAATGAACTTCTGGTTAAGGGACTCTTGGGGAAGATGATGGCTCAGATAGATATTTCTACAACTGTAGAGTACATTAAAACCATGTTAGTTTGTACGTGGAAGTTGGGCAAATCAAAGGTACCGGGAAAGGAGGGGTAAATGGTGTGTGTATAATAATATTTGAGTGAAGGATATATTTGTAATTTTTAATGTGTGGATTGAAAAAATTAATCAATAAATAAATTAATAGGTATTTGTATTGAGAAAATATGTGTCTTAAGCTAATTAAGTGTGTGAAAATAGAATTTTTCATTTTGGGTCACACCACCTTTCACATTTTTTACAAACAAAATGACAAAAAAAAACTCCAAAAAACCAAAAAATCAGCTTCCTAAATCACCCCATAATAAAGCATAAGGGCTTTCAAAAACGTGTCAATATGTCTTAGAAATACATTTCGTTTCGAGAGTTGAGATTAATTCTCATATTCATTAAAGGCCAATATTTTTTTAATTCTCACTTATCCACCTTCTTTTTTCCCTTTTTTGTTTACTCGTGCAATCTCTCTCTCTCTCTCTCTCTCTCTCTTTCTCTCTCTCTCTCTCACACCTTTCGTCATCTTTCCTTTTTATTTTTTTATTTTTTATTTTTCCTCTTTTTTTTTATTTTTCTTCTTATTTCTTTAATTTTTTTTTCTCATTTTTGCTCACTTATTTTATTTACATCGTGTCTTCAGGCACGAGCATGTACTAGTTTATCTATATTTTAAGAAAAATTCTATTTACTCTAGTAATCTTTTTAGTGGGTGTTTGAAATGATCTAAATAAGTATATTTTTTGACTTTTTACAAAAAAAATTTTTTATTTTTCTTCCTATTTCTTTAAATTTTTTTTCTCATTTTTACTCACTTATTTTATTTACATCGTGTCTTCAGGCACGAGCATGTACTAGTTTATCTTCACTTATTTTATTTACATCGTGTCTTCAGGCACGAGCATGTACTAGTTTATCTATATTTTAAGAAAAATTCTATTTACTCTAGTAATCTTTTTAGTGGGTGTTTGAAATGATCTAAATAAGTATATTTTTTGACTTTTTACAAAAAAAATATGTAAAAAAGTAGAAAAGTAATATGGTCCAAAAGATAAAAAGATAAAAAAAATATGAAACCATGCCAAATTGTTAGTATCCACCATAATCCTAATTTTTTAATTACATCTTTATCCTTAAATTAAGTTACACTTTTATTCTTCGCTGTGAAATCTCTTTATTTCTCAACACATACCATTCTTCAGCACTATCTATGTCACGACCCAAACTCGCCCATATAGATTTAGCGTCGTAACCGGCAAGTAATCATTGGATTACCGACCTCTTAACAATTAGACTTATAATTAGGGGCTACAGAAGTAAATACATAAAATATACATAGTCTATCGAGCTTTGAAGACTTACATGAGACTGATAATCTTAACTTTATAACATACGAGTGACGACAAAAGATACAGTATTTACACGTCACTTCATGTACATATAAAAGAAAAATTTGTTCATAGAGCAAAAGGAACAGTTTTATACATCCATATTAACACAGCCACAAAACATGACTTGATCTGGGACCTCCTCGTGAGGCGCAAAAGGTGGTTGACAAACACAAAAACGCTTCAGGCATCATCTTAGGCCTACTCACGAGCCTACTCACCTACATACATAATAAATAAGTAGTGAGCGAAGGCCCAGTGAATAATAACAAAGTAAATGGGTAAATGAATGATATCCCATAACCATTTATGTTCCAAAGTTCACATTCATATTCTCATTCTGAGCATATATAGAATTCAGAGTTCATGCTTAATCTTACATAGTACATCCGTGAGCGTTGACAGATCACATACAGAATATCTTAAATCATACTTGTCAGTTCTATAGAAGAACCTCCGGCCAAGTAAGGATAACTTGTCAGTTCTATAAAGAAACCTCCGGACTGGAAACTTGTAAACTTGTCAGTTCCATCTAGGAACCTCCAGCCGGGTACAGCTAGCTTGTCAGTTCCATAAGGAACCTCCGGTACTGGGAACTTATAACATACTTGAGTCATAGCATAATGCCACTTGTAACATACTTGAATCATAGCATAATGTCATAAATGCTTGTTATTGTTAGACAATCATTCATAGTATAAAACATGACATTCCATTCAACAAATCTTGTTTCATATACCGGAAATAATTTAACTTGAACATAGCTTTATTAAGTTATTACTCACAGATAATAGATGTTCCAAGTAAACAAATTGAGTGGGCAATTCAGCTTCCTTATGGCGTATGACCTAGACAGCATGATAGATACATACATTGAAACACACATTCGGATTATACATAACTTATCTCATTTGTTTTTAGTGTGTTTCTACCCTTTATCCTCATTATGGTGTCTTAATCATAGCCTAGGAATGCTTAGGATGGAATGAGGATGTAAAATTGCATTAGAAAATATTTTTCAAAACTTGCTAAAAACAAGATCTACGCTTAAGCGTGGCTTTCCTCGCTCGAGCGGGCATGCAGAATGTGAGGGTCCGCTCGAACATAACTTCTTTCGCTCGAGCGGTCTGTAAATTTTGAAAAAGTACTGGTTGCTTGTTTTTCACACTCGATGGACGCTCGATCCCCGCTCGAACGTAAGACTCAGACCCTCGCTCGAGCGTAACTTTTGTCGCTCAAGCGTGCTGCAAAGCGCAAGAACTTCTGAGGGCTTGCATTTCACGCTCAAGCGTACTTCAGGTCGCTCGAGCGGAAGTGCATGCACTCAGAGTGGTCGCTTGAGCGTGGATTCCTGCGCTCAAGCGTAGATGAAAATTATGGAATTTCCAGATTTGATCTGCAAGTTTCAAACTTAATCTTTAAGCACCAAAACTTGGTTTTTTGGGGCCAAAACTTGAGAAAATACATGGAAACTCTTAAAATAACATGAATTAAAGATCATTACAAGAAATCATGGCCCAATGGCTTGCTAATTGAGCAAAATTTCAACTTAAAATGTAAGAACATGCTCTAAATATGACCTGCATGTAATCACTTGAGTTCTTAGCCTCCAATACATGGTTAAATGAGACAAATGGATGGAAAACAAGATAAATTCTCAAAGCTAAGGCAGAATGATAACATGTATGGAAGAATTCTTTGAAATCAATTCTCAATGTGGAGAGATGAACATGCACGCATGATATGGTCCTTCTACTAACTTATTTAATTCAAGCTTGCTTAACTCAACATAATCTTCATGAATTCATGTTCTAAACATCATAATTATATAATCTAGGTGTTGAATTCATACCTTAACCTCTCAAGTAAGATCTAGATGATGAGCACACTAGGATTCCAAGCTAATTCTTCTCAATTTCAACAATTCTTGTTGATCTCAACTCTCTCTCTCTCTCTCTCTCTCTCTTGGTCCCTCCC